GAGTAACCTCCCAAATACAGCCCCCTAATCCCAGTTTTGCACTTAGAAATATGATTCTTCATGATCTACAATTCCTGCAAAAGCGCCTGGGGTAGGACAGCGGGCAAGGGTATAGCCAGAAGAACCAGAAATCAAGGTATTGCCCACGTCGACCGGCTTACCTCTATTTCTAAACATGGAAGGTATAGTACTAGTTCATCTCGGAGCATTAGTTTGAACACAATTCATATCGAACAGAAGTCCTTCCCAATAAGGTCCGACCAGGCGACTACAAATGACTTTCTCTCAGTCTCTTCTTTCTGGTCCATTCAAATTGCCAGAAATCATCATTCCTTAAATATCTCTTTTTTCAGTAAATAGGTAAATAAATGTAAATAAATAAATAAGGTAGTTGTTGTAGGTTCATCGAAAATAGGTGGTGTCTCGTTGATCAGTGTTCAGTTCCTATTAAAAATTCACCTTGTGGTCAATTTCCCATGAGACGCATCTGAGCAAACTTGGCATCTTCCGTTCACACGCTTTTTAAACCAGCATCCCTACGCAACATTTTAGGCCAAGGATATTTGGACGTACTTGAAAATTGAGGCAGATGTCCGCAAATCAATCAGTTACTGTTCTTTTGCTTCTTTTTATGTAAAAACCTTGAAATCCGCTTTGTTGAACTTTCTTGAAGAGGGCTGTTCTACGTGGTTGACCAGCGAAGCATTTTCTGTCGTTTTGACCTGTAGATTTGTTGAAGGCCATTATTTTGTGGAAGTACACGATCATAAGGATGGCGAATTGTAGACAAAACTGGCATTTCAAGGAATAGGGGGCACGGTGCCCGAGAAGCACATGCGAGTTCGGGTCCCGCCCGTGGTTGAAGTACTGCCCATGACTTGCCATCCTTGTGAGGGATCTTCTTCTGCTCCATAGGAATCATCGACTTGGACATGCTTTCATTTTAGCTTTGAGTTCGTTACCCGGTGGTAGCTTACGTGCATCTGCTAGATCTGGTAACTAGTATCAGGTAAAAAGCTCATTAACCTGTATCCTTATGGCACTCTTCGGTTCCTCCTCAAATCCCGATAGGGTTGGGAGCGACTGGATGTCGGTTGCATTCGATCATAAGTCACCTAACCCTTACGACCTCCGGTCTGGGGTAAGGGGCGGGTGATCAAGAAATGTGCTAACGGACTTGGCAGAAACTTGAACCGTCTTCGTATTTCTGCTTAAACCGTCAACAAGTTTTTTCAGGGGGTTTTACAGGGTTTTTTGTAAAGCTTTATGAAGTGTAGCACCTCATCAAAATAAATTGGTCCGGCTTATTCACTATCTTCTTCTTCTTCTTCGAACTAATTGCCTGTCTCGTTCTGAACGTGACTTGAAACAATCTCTCCTTCTGTATACTCGTGTTAATGTAGTTGTTTGATTGATTCGTTACTCTTTTCTATGAAACCGCACGGTATATTGCTCCACATGAAGACGGACACTTTTTCAGCCTCAACTCTTTCGTCAGTTGTCGCGGGTTGTCGTACTCCCGAGCGGGAGTTGTTCTGCATTTGTCCGTCGTTTCCGGCACCATACGCCACCGTATCCGCTTTATTCGGTCGACGCGGCACATCGAAATTCACGATGAGCAGCAATTCGACAACGGAAGCAACGCTGAGCGAAGGCGATCACATTGGTGGTTTGCAGATCGCTCTCATCGTAATTGGAGTTATTGTGAGTTTCCAGCCTACATTATTTTCCTTTTTTTCGAAAAATTATTAAAAGAACCCTATTGCGGAGGGAGCCCATCTTGTGACTCTTCTCTTCAACCGCAAGTTTATCACCATGCCTGGACTTTGGGCAGTTTCACATGTAATTTGGCCACTTATTTCATTGTTTGGAAGATTCGATCCCAACTAGTCGTAGGCGAAATTGCCTGGCAGTGGGCTGTTGTCCTAGACACTGAAATTTTTTGAGATCAATGTCAACCTTGGAGGAGGAACCCTCTGAGAAACATGCTGTAGTCGAATGATACTCCGCCCATAGTCTCATCATGACATTTGCATTAGCAGTAATGAATTACTTGTATATCTGTGATTTTTGGTACAGATGGCTGGGTGGTGGAGTAGCTCTATCGTAGCGGAGCAGTGGCGAGATCGAGTTGCGTCTTGTCCGGTTTTGCCATCATAAGTTGAACTAATTGGTAACCTACTGAGCTGAGAGAGGAAAGAACTCGAAATGGGTTGAGTCGAAAATTTGTTGGTTGAACAAAATTGAGGTTTTCATATCCTAGTACGAGACCGACCCCATAAGTGGCGCTGAAGAAATATCTGCGACTGGGCTGCTTTTCATTCTTCCTACTTGTTTTGACCATTTCCTCCTGAACTGGTAAAATTAGCGGAAGGAATGCTTGTCGTTCTAGATTCCACAGTGCTGAGAACATAAGCATGGCCTCTATCCTATTCAGTCGGTGAGTGTACGTGAATGAGTCCTAATCAGGAATGGCCTAGGCTGTTACACGCTAGGGAGCGTTTCCTGCAGCCGCTAGTTTTTGCACCGATTTCATGCAAGTGAAAGACCTAATTGGATTCGAGGAAGAGATCTATTGAGCTCAAATGGCAAAATGTAAAAATGCAGACGACACGGATTTGGGATTTCCAGCCTTTCGTTTTATAGAGCAAAATCAAACCCTGGGATTTTCAACCTTTCGCTTTATAGGGCAAAATCAAACCGTTGGATTGAATTGAAAGGGAACCAATGGGACGAGTTGAGGTGGGTCCTTCAGCAAAGTAGCGGGTGGCCAGCCTAACTTCTTAGTTACACTTGCTATATGTTTCATTTTTTTCCGATTTACTTCTCTGACTGGTTTGTTTAGCAGTGGACCCTCAGATGCGATGATCCCAACTGCTAGCTAGGAGGGCTGAGTTTTCTGTTGGGCTTTTCGACTCGGAATAGTACACATGGCATTCAATAAGTAATGAGCTTTAGAATTGATCAAAGGCATTCGCATGACTGACATGTCGAAAAGCGTGGCTGCACTTTTTTCCTTTTTTTTAAACTTTTCCCAACTGGCTGATTGAAGGGTTCATAGATCTCTTCAATCGAGCAAAATTTTTTGGAGAGCACTGTCATACAGCACCTGCACAGTGTACCACATAAAAAGTATATTCGGCGCCAGTTTAGTGATTTGATGTCCGATGTGTCGAAGTAATTGATAACAGAGTAGTTTGAAAGTAGAAGTTTGACTTTTGTTCCTCCACATATCACCTAACCACCACTGGTTAGACAGGAAAGGAGAAACCAAAGCAATTCTGAGTGGAGGTAAAGTGTAAGGCGTATCCCAGGATAACTGATTATTGCCAGACGCTTTGTGAATCTCCCTATCACTTTCGTATTTGTGTCGTAGGAGGAGAACCATTAAAGGGAAGGGAGGGGAGGATCCAGTGCAATACGTGGGAAAGGTCTCTTATGAATGAATTCCTGTGAGTCATAATCATGCGTCAACTTTGTTAATGCGTTCGTAAATGGTTAAATTGTCAACTAACAGCAGTTCTGTTGACTAAACTTTCAGCAGATCCTAGTTCTATTGCCTCTATATGTATTTTGGACCAAGATCGAGTACCAAGACCTCGAGGAGGAGGTGAAGGGCCTTTCTTTTACAGGGAAAGGGGCCTGACCTGCAAATAGATCCCGTAGGATTCTCACTGTTGCCCGTTCATGCGAACTTCTTGCTTCTTTTTCTCCCTATCTGTCCTTTGCCCCCCTTTTTTTAGCTGGGGTCTGTTTTCCTTATCAGTTTTGATTTATCTTAAGGCTTGCCTTTCTTTCCAATTTTTTATGCTTTTCCTAGCTGTTGACATATGACCGTTGCACCAGCGTTTCTGTTTTCTTTTGTACGGCACACTCCTGAGTGTACCTGAATAAATAAACAAATGACAGAAGTTGAGATTTTTTTCAAATTTCTGCTGTCAATTTCACTCAAGAATTACTACTTTATTGTGCGTCACTTATGCCATTTCTGCTCAGAAACAAAGTAGTTTTTTCAAGGAGATTGTGGACTCAAACATGATTCACGGCTTACTCTCTCTTAGCTTACACTGACTCACTAAAGAGACTCGGGTCTGAGTGGGGGTATGGCTCGGCTGAAGAAAAGTGGAAGCCAAACTTTTTCTTCATCGACTTTTCCTCTACTCATTGTAATGCAATTGCAATTTCTTTTTATAAACCTTAGTATTAATAGTACCAGACTTGTCTGGGAGGATAAAAGCACTGACTTGTTCATCAGCTGGCTACCGCAATTCATTGTCTAGGCCACATACGCCTTCAATACGCCACCACGAATCTGAATGAAAGTGGAATGCGGGGCGCATCCCTCTGGCGGGATTGATTAGTGCTCCAGGACTTTATCCTTCATCCTTACAAGTGCAAGTATTTAGTAAGTACATGGTGTGCTGCATGCCTGGTATGCCCATCTTATCACGATGCCCTCCTGATACCAAGGTTTTACAAAAATAGTGACTAAACTACACCGTAGTTTCTAACTTGTCAATTATAAGAGTAACGCGAAGATTATCGCCCCACTCAGCTTTGACAGTAAAGCGTCACATCTGGTTCTCTTGGTTGTATCGTGAGTACCGGTTGAACATTGCATCATACTGGAACAGTGTTTACTAAGAACTGGTAACCAAAATAGGCTGTTGTTTGTTGAGGACGACGCAAAACACATTGTCAAACATAGTCGTGTAGAGGGGAGTTGAAAGATATTCGCGGAACCTTCCTTATATGACGCCTCTGGTGTACTAATCAATTATTTGAGGTAACGACAACTCGTGCAACATTGGGCGTGCCCTCTTTAGGATACTGTGATCCTTACTTTGAATATGACGAAATAGTCTCCAGAACTTAAAAGTTTATTCCAAGAAGCCTTCCTAGCTATAGGGCTTCTTGGAATAGACTTTTAAGTTAAGTGGGTGGTTAGTAACCTACAGTTATTGATTGATTGAAATAATTGGTCGTGAATATTCTTTTAAAGCTCTACACGGCCGCAAACGATATNAATTTTATTCATGAAAAGCCAAAATAAAGCCTCATTTCAATCCATAGGCGCACTCAGTTGAAAGCATAAATAAATAAATAGAAATAAATAAATGAATTGTTCAGCTGCTCATTGTGCTGATCGCTGTTGGGACATTCTTCGTGATACGAGCGATTCGTGATCGTCGACGAAATCACGGCGAGTATCGTCCACAATTCGAAGAACTTCATCATGCCAAAGATTTGCCCTACCTTCAGCCCCCAGCTGTTGAAGGGCTTATCTAAAGTACTAGTGAGGACGTTACTCTCACGCTATCTCATCGAAACGAACATTTTCTGTGAAAATTCATGTTTAAATGAGTTGTGTAAATCATTTATCCATTATTATCATCTGAAAGACTGCACAAGTCTGCCTCTGTCACCCATTACTTAATTCATATGAAATTTATATTTGCTTTAGAAATGTATTTGTAAATGTCACGGTTTTTCTCGGTTTCATTGGCGTCTATACATCCATCGACAGTCTGCTGTGAGGGGTAATCTCAGGTTATTTTCGAGCACATAGTTCAACGTTTAGCTTATATTACTTGATACTTATGAGGTACGGTCGCCAACATTCTCGCGGTCGCGCGCGGTTGCAACGCGACAAGCTCAACCGTGCATTGCGCGCCGCACGCACCGCACGCGCAGTTGTCACTTTTTGCAACCGCGGCTCGATTCGTGATGGCGACTGCGCGTTCAATATGATTATAGCACTATAAACGAATCGACTCCTTATGTTGGGTAGATCCATGTATGATGGTTGTGAATCTTTCATCCGATGTTTCCCAGATATTGTGTTTTGCTCCACTGTTCACTTATGATATTTGACGGATCGTTTCCCATTTATTTGTTTCCCCAAATGCTTCTAAACTACAAAAATTTTGTCTGTTAGAGTGATATTATTCGTACCGTGTTACTGTGATTACTTATCCTTTCTATGCCATGAGGCGATGTATAATCCCGGTGCTCTGTCCTGTATAGAAAATTTATAAAAAATATATAAATATATTTAAACATGATCGATGTGATGTGATGATGTGTAAAAGAAAGAAGTGAAAAAGTTATTGATAATCTGTCTTACACGTTTTTTAAAGCCATAAAACTTGTCCTGACTCAGAAAGGCCGCCTATCCCCGTGCTCGTAATTACTGAAGCTTTCCCAGCGTGCCATGAATTTCGGCACTTCCTGGGGCCTTGACCGGAATTATTGGGTCTTTTGGTATAGATGGTCCTGATACGCAGAACTCATCCAGCTTTATGAAGAATGAAACCATAGCGTGGACTTCTTCCGCAGTGGGCGGAGCGTGCTCTAGCCATTGTTGCAGATGTGGAGTCGAAAAATAATTAGATATTTAATTAGTTTTGGGTCTTGAACGGTGGCCTATCTATGCATAAGATGAGGTGAGCGTCTTGTTTGGCTTCTTGCGAAGGTGTCCAGAAATTTGACACCACCTGGCAATTTACTTGAGGATCACGTGAGGTCCAAATGAACAGCTGAGAGAGAGGTTCTCACGCTGGTTGGCGTTAGTATGTTGGTCTTTAATATGCACGCTATCCCTATTACCGATCGGACATGTCGCGAAGGTCCAACTGTTTTTAGTTTTTATGTCTGACATGGAAAGATGGTGGAGGGTGAGTGTCAGAACGCGCGGCGATTATTAGCTAGCTAGTTGTCTCGCCGCATGCTATGTCTGGCTGCAGCTGTACAATTTGCTGCAATTCGATTTGTTCAGGTGTGTAATTGGCTGTAACCCTGTTCAACAAATAATTCGGAACCATCCTACTTGTTTGCCATGAATGGAGTGCTTTGATTTTGTGATTGCATAGGTTAAAGGGAATTTATCCGAAATTGCTGTGATTCCGTCGGAAGCTTATCGAGACCGTCTTGCCGATGTGACTGAATGGGTTGAGGTTCTTGGAACAGTAGTTTCAGTGGCCATTCATAATCTCGACGTCGTGGTTCTCGATCTGTTTGCACCCCCTTCTCGATGACAGCTCACGCGACACCTCTAAGACAACAGCTATTTGGGAATCTCATTTTCGGCCTTTTACACTCTTCTACAGCTCCATTGCGGTGAAACATTTCTAGTTATTATCATTCAACAGCCTTCATATAATGTTGTAAATTTAAGTTTAATTAATGCTGTAACATATAGAAAATGTGATAAAGCCACAGCTAACTTGCGATCCAGTCTACCTGTTTTTGAGCTTTTTAATTCAACACTCGAGAGACTATTTTTCAATTTCATTTCAAAGGTTTTATTGTAAATATAGTTGAATTACTAATCGTTTTTATTCGAATGGATTACAACAACGAGCTCAGTTTGAACTCACCATCAGTTTTCTAGATCTAACAATCACATTTAGAAGTGAAGTCACGAATTGTTTGAAAGATTTTCCCTTCCCGGCCCCCGGTCCTTACAAATCTAATGATTTCTCCCTGTCCTTACTCTGAGTTGTTGTGACTAAAAAAATTCCAAATCAAGAAAAATACTAACTGGAAGCTTTGTTCATCTTCTATACCAGATTATGAGAATTGACGATTACTTTCCATCTTGCAGAAAACCCGTTCCATTCCAAAGTACTAGTAACAATATTCTAGTTTGAAAAGCTTCTCGTTTAATTCTGATTTTGGTATGCCTTGGTCATGGATTGTAATTTTATGAAATCATTCACAAAATAACGATTCATACCTACTTCTGAATATTTCTACAGCAGATATGTATGCACCGGATGAAACAACTGTGGAACTGCTATCTGAACTTTCCGTTGGGATCATGTTCATCTCCCTTGTCCTGTCAATAGTATTCATTGCACACAGGTCAGTTTCTCACGAAACACGAGGGAAAATGTTGCTTATCAAAACTCTTGCCATCTTTTCTGAGAGGTCGACCGAGTTTTTTACCAGAGCTTGTCAAATAGAATACATGTTTAGCCTTGTTACCCGAGAGTGGTGCAGTAGGAACGAAATCTCCGCGTCGCGGCGAGAGAGACGCCGCGCGCGAAGGAATGTAGCAGAATGCAGCAGCAAATAAGAAGTTCAGAAACAAAAGAACCAAGAGTATATCTATGCCAAAAGTAATAATCGCATAGCAATTGAGCTGTATGAAGAACGCTAGAACTGTTATATCGAGGCAAATGGTACGCGACAGTCGCGTCCGGCGGATCGATTACCCAAAACCGTTCCTACTGTCCGTCTCCATTGTTACCCAGCTAGATTGTAAACTGCTTCGACTTGCTCTGTGAGCCCTTAACAAGAAAAACGTCCCATTAAGACTCAAAATAGAAGTGGATATGTCAGAAGGATTAGAATTTATCCTGAGCAGATTATCCTTTGTCTTATAAGTCTTTCTCACTGTCATTTGGGTTGAGGGGGAACTATGCGCATCGTAGGCGTACCGCAATGTTAATTTAATATATATATTTTCACATATTAATGTATACTAACGTTCTAATTTCCGTACTAAAAAAGGTAAAATCGCAGAAAATCATCTTGGAAAGGTTACTTCAAGCAGCACTCTGGCTGTTGTTAAAGTCTCAAGGAACCCCATTAAGATAAATGTTTACAAGTCGATTCGGGAAAGATTTGGCGCAGAGTTCAAGGAGGCTTCGGATGTGGGATGGTAGTCCGCTCGGTAGTCGGCGAGGCTCACACCGCGCGGCGATATGTAGATAGCTGTCTCGCACCGTGATATGCCTCTCGAGAGCACCATTCATTACTTCAATAGCTTGTAATACAAAAAATTATTTATTAAAAATTATTTGCCTGTATTCCTAGTCGGTCTAAGTGAATTTTTATGTGATTCATATAAACAATCTTTTCAGGTGCCTCCAAAAGGAATGAGAACAACTACATAAGCATCGATATCTTCACCCTCCTTCCCATTCTCAGGGACTTCTCAGTGGCATGGCCCACCAGACATCGCTCTGATTTTTTTGTGATCGCTGTAACATTGCTTAAGCTAGTTCCATAAATTGCTCCTGAGGTAGCATTTAATAATTATCTACGATTTGTGATATCATTATTTATCATAGTGTCTTGTTATTTGGCCCCACTGATACTATTAATTAATTCTTTGCAATCGCTGCCATTCTTTGAAATATTTCGAGGCACTGTGAGCAGGGTATAGGAATAAAAATAAGTTCCAATAAACAACATTTATATACACACAAGAACAGCAACAGCATACGCATTAGAAAAGAAAACAAATTTAATAGGTTGAACTTCGGGACTTTTTACATCAATTTGACTGCATTCCATTTAAATATATGCAATGTTGTTAGCTCTTTCATCCTTGGTGCCTTTCTCTTTTGTTTTACACTGTACCTGTACTCACGAGTAAATATTATTTAAATAGATGACATCTTACAAAGTACGAGTAACACGACTGAACTTACAAGCTGACAGGTGATTTCCCTTCGAGAGTACCTAATCAGATAAGGAGGTCCTATACATATGTAGATACGGTAAGAAAAAACCGATTGCATCAAGGAAAAGCACCATTTCAGATTACTACGAAAGGTGTTATTGAAGTTGAAAGTGGTTTTAAGTCAAGAACATGGTAGTTAAAAAATCAGTTCGAAGACTGGTTTTTATAGAACTTGAGAAGCTTTCAGAGGGTACGTAAAGAAAGGATATGACCACGGCCACCCAGAGAGGAACCTCGATTCAGGTGGTCGATTTTTTGTCCTGTCCTGTTAGTTAGAAGTAAAGTAAGCTCAAATAGTTTTGGTTGACTTGGCAGATCTCAATAGTAACTATAATTACTGTAGTCTGAACTGTTAGGGAGGGCATGCTCAGCTTCCTTATTAGGTACCTTTCTATTGGAGCCTGCCTGTCCCCTTTACAAAGTCTCTGGGAATTTGTCGACTGCTCCTATTCCTGTCACAAGCCGTCTTCCCAGGAATTTTACTTACCTCGACAGGCGTAATCATGTTAAAAAACGCGCTTTACGTACATACTGAAAATGAAATCGAAGCAAAAACTTAATTGCAAAGGAATGTTCCCATCCATGAAGATATCAATTTGATACAAGTATTCAGAATTCTAGCGCGTGTTTCGCAGAATCACCAAATGATTGAGAAAAATCGCTTTCTTATTGGAAATAGTCTCTGAGAAGGTGGCTTCTATGTGGATAGCTTTCACCTTCTCTCTATAGGTGGAAACGAAACACACTTCCTCAGAGAAAGAATCTAATAACTGGTTTTCTGGTTCTGGAAACCAACGATTTACTGGAGAAAGAC